CCCCCCCCCCCCCCCGCTTTGCGTTCTGAATCCTTTAAGAGACGTCAAATGCTTTCAAAATTTTATATTTGAAATGAAACCCCACCTCCTCTCTCTTTCTCTCCCTGGGCATTTTCATCTCCTTTACAGCCTCTAAGTCAAATAAATGACCCAGATACACCCCCTCAGATGACTTTCTGAGGTAAAACTTTGGGAAAATATTTTTAGCTTACTCATTATCTGTCTACCTAAGTGTGGGGAAAATAAGTCTCCTCCAAGGAGATCTGTTCAGGCTGCCGCTCTCTGGTCTCTTTCTAGAACGTGAATTTGTCCGTGTGAGAGCCTTCCATTGTTTTTCAGTGAGACTGCTTTGATTCTCACCATTTTGTTTTACATTCTTACCCAAGACCAATTTTTATCCCTTCCCCCTCGCTCCAGTCTCCTTACATTGTTAAACGTTTAAAATAATAGCACTCGTGTTGGTGGGGGAAGGGAGCAGGAAGCCAAAAAACTCATTTCTTTTCCCTCCCCCTTCTGGCAAGTCTAGAGAAATAATATAACATAATATATAGATGTGATTCCTTGGGGGTTGGGGGGTGGAGGTGGGGAATGATTGTGGGTGGTGCGGAAAATTCTGGTAGTTTCTTTGCAAAAGGTCTGAAAATACAAACCCACCTCCTGCGTTCAGTACGCATGTGCGGCAGACCTATTATGGAGGTTCGTTGTGGGGGAGGGAGGGGAATTTGAGAAAAAATAAATATATGTGTGAGAGATTGATGGCGAGATTAGGAGAGAGGGCCGGGAGGGAGGCTCTCGCGCAGGCTCCTCCCTCGGCCCCGGCTGCCACGCTCCGCCCTCGCCCTCCCTGCCTTCCCGAGTTCCGAGCCGGGATGTGGGAGAGAGTCTGGGCTCGCGGCCAGCATTGAGTGGCTGCTGAGACAGAGGCTGGGGCTTAGATTTGCTTTATTACCCTTCTTTGCCTCTCCTCGCCATTCTTTGCTGCTGCTGGCCACCAACATGGGCCTAAATTTGGGAACCTCCTGCTGGGCCGGGCGGGAAGTGGAGTTCATAGGTTCTGTGGCCTGTCCGTCCCCCTACCCCCCCTCCCTTCCCCCGGCACTCCAAAGTGACCCGGACCACTTCCCTGATCCTTTGCCAGTTGGCCTGGCCTGGCCTTGCCACTTGCCCCGCAGCCTCCGTTTCCATGTTCAAGTTAACCCAAATGCCTAGACTTAAGGGGAGCTGGCTGCTGGGCATGGCATCTGACTTCCTATCGCATACAACCCTGGCTCATTTTCACACACCGCCCCTGGGCTGGCAGCCCCCTTTCATGCCCGCACTCCATCCTAGAGTGTCTTTCTGCCCACAGGGACGCAGGATATTGGAGGTGGAAGGGAAGGTTAGCATTAGAAGGAAGGCCCAGGGTGAGGCAGTGGAAACCAAGGCCTGGGGTGTTAATTGTGGCTAATTTTTCCTTGGCTGTTGAAGGAAGAAGGATTGTATGTCCTAGAGCAAGGGGCTGGGCCAAGACCAGGCTTTCCTCTCTGGCTCTGGCTGCAGCTGCCTCTGCTGGAACAAGACAGGTCTGGCTGGTTAGTCTAGTGCTTGGTGGGGGCGGTAGGTGAACCAGGGCCCCATTTCTGTGTGGCATCAATTTGTGTGGCATCAGGTCTTACTCTATGAGGAGCAACTCTGGTCCCCAAGCCTCAACAGACTGGCAGGGGTCAGACAGAATGGGGTGGGGGGATATCAGGAAAGAACCTGTCCTGGGCCCTCCGACAGAGTCATCTGGGGAGAGAGCCAGGGACATAGCTGTGCTGAAGCAGGTACAGGCCTTTTGGATTTGTGTGTGTTTGTTGTACATTGGTGTAGGTATGTGTGGGGGTATGCATTTGAGACTGCACATGCTGGGGGTGGTGTGGTCGTATCCTTGTTTTGTTTGTGTCTCCCGTACTGTGTATATATAGACTGGTCAGCATGTCTGGGACAAAGTATGGAGGTGCAGGGTGAAACTGTGGGATAAAGGGTATAGCTCCTGAGAATAGCTTTGGAGATAGATTCCAGACCATCTAAGAGAAGGACTGTTTAGGGAATTGTATAGACTTCCTCTTCTTGAGTCAGATTATGGAGGCAAATAATGATCCCATGGGCAAGAAGGGAAAAGACTGGCTGAGAATTTCTTTCCAGTTCTGTGTTCAGGTGATTATTCAAGGAAATGTAAATAGAGGCCTCCCTCTTGGCAAAAAGGATGTCAGGGCCCCAGGGTGTTAGTGTGAGAACCCAGGTGTCCACCTTTGGCTCTCCCTTCTCAGCATCTGGCTTTGGGCGCTGCCAGCTTGTGTCTCCCCACTCCAAGTGCTGGGGTCAGGCCAGGCCAGCAGCTGGGCATGGCTTCCCCCGTTCCTGGGCAGGCTGCCAGCTGGCAAAGTGAGAGGGAAGGCTGGAGTAGCCCTGGCGACGACTGAAAGGACCTGCCACAGGCTGAGCCCAAGGCCTAGAGACTCATCCCTTGTCCATAGGAGGGGAGAAAAGGGAGTGGCTTGGCTGTTCATCCTTTCTGACCCCTGACCTCCCATTCAGAACCCGAGGATCCCAGAGTACTCCAAGTACTCTGTTTGTATCCACTGAAGAAGGGCAACAGATTTAGAGGACTTAATGCCTCGGTTCCTAGAGCGTGTGACCCAGGCAATGGGAAAGGGGTCAATGAAGGGCCTCTGAGATTGGGAACCTAGAGGTTTGGGTTTTCTGGTGTTCTCTTCTCCAAAGATAAGGGTGACATTCGGCTGCTGCCTTCAACATTGGGTGTGAAGAAGAGAAAGCGAGGACCCAAGAAGCAGAAGGAAAATAAGCCAGGCAAACCTCGGAAACGCAAGAAGCTTGTAAGTATCAGAGATTCCTAATGCTTTAGCAAGGCTTTGGAGTTCCTTTCCTAGACTCTGGTCCTGATTACCTGGATTCAAGAGGTTCCTAAACTCAGGGAGGCTTGACCACTCCCCACCTTCCAGCTGTATCTCATGGACCTGGGACCCTAACCTCACTTTTTAGAACCTAGTAAAGAATCCAGTTGTTAGCTGGGCATAGTGGCATATACCTTTAATCCCAATAACTCAGGAAGCAACAGTTGAGAGCACACTGGCTTGCTAGGAGTGTAGCTCAGTGGTAGAGTATTTGTCTAGCATGTTGTAATCCTGGGTTCAATTCCTAATATGGGGGGTGGGGCAGAGGAGGGGAGAACACAGATTTGGAGGAATACTACATGAATTCAGAGCCTAGAAGTCCTTTGTTTGCCTAGGCAATTTATTTAGTTCTCTGTGCCTCAGTTTTCTCTGTTAAAAAGTGGATAAATATGGAACTGGAGAGATGGCTCAGCAGTTAAAAATACTTGCTGCTCTTGTAGAGGACCCAGGTTCTGTTCCCATCACCCACATGACAGTTAACAACCTACCATAACTCTAGTTCCAGAGGATCCAGTTCCCCCTTCTGACCTCTGAGGGCATTGCACAACACAGATAGATATACTTACATACATGCAGGCAATACATTCATACACATAAAAATAATAAAATATTTTTAAAATGGATAAATATAGATCAATTACTATTTCATAGGATAGTTGGAAAGATGAAAAGAGATAAAATATGTTACATGCTACTAACAAGTCTTGGCACATAGTAAGAATGAATAAATGTTTTTTTTTCTCTTCCTTAGGACAGTGAGGAGGAATTTGGCTCAGAGCGAGATGAGTACCGGGAGAAGTCAGAGAGTGGGGGCAGTGAATATGGAACTGGACCAGGTCGGAAACGAAGACGGAAGCACCGAGAAAAGAAAGAGAAAAAGACAAAACGGAGGAAAAGGGGGGAAGGAGATGGGGGGCAAAAGGTGAGTAGAATTAGGAAGTTCAGGGGTGGAATCAGTATTAGAGAGAGGCATGAGTAGGGAGCTATACTTTGTAAAGGAAGGGGATTGGACTTAGAAGGGAGCAGGAAGTTGGTGGGTACTGAGTTAGGTATTGAAGGATAGATGGAGGCCTGGAGGGGGCCAGGGAACACCCATCTAACTGAAGCTGTCCCCCACCCAGCAGGTGGAACAGAAGTCATCAGCAACTCTACTTCTGACCTGGGGCCTGGAGGATGTGGAACATGTATTCTCTGAGGAGGATTATCACACACTTACCAACTACAAAGCCTTCAGCCAGTTCATGAGGTGCAATGGAAGTGGGAATTCTCTAGACCAAACACTTAATATTAGGGTGGGGGCTGGACCCCTCTGGAATTTGATGAAAGTTAAGAAAATGCTTCCCAGAAAAGTTCACAGCATATGCACACATAATTTCAAGGTACTCTTGAACTGGGATCCTCAGATCCCAGCTTAGAATTGGTCTTTCACTAAAGATTATGGGGGCGGAAATCATGAATCCAGTCCTACACTAGAGAACTTTCTAGAAATAGAGTATAGTGAGGAAAGAAAATAGTGACTTCTCCTGCTCTGACAGTTTCATTTTCGCCTCCGTGACTTCTCTAGATTGGACCTGAATGATACCATCAGTGTTCCAGAATTTCCATTGCTTTTTATCAAATCTTCAGCCCCTTTCTTATGTCCTAGTAACAACAGATCATGCTTTGATAGCTGCAAGTCTTGAGCTACCATGGTTCTCCAAGCAGAGAATAAATGAAAATGTTTTTCAAGGAGGAGGCTTTTTAACATAGGGATTCAGTGCCCTGGAGGCAGCTGCTGAGGTTCTTGCCTTGATCCCATCTTGGGCAAGTTACTTAATTTCTTAGATGCTCAGTTTCCTTATCTGTAAACTAGAGATAATATATACTTCATAAGAATCTGTATGGATTTGGTTGGAATAATGAATGCATAGGCCAGTACAGTTGGTACCTGCACTCAAGGAGTTTCTAATTGGTAGCTCTCCCTAATAATGTCTCACCTAGATAAGTTTGTTGGCAGTGGGATTACAGGTATTCTCACACGAACTTGATACTCTACCCTAGAGGAAAACATGTGGCTTGTCTCTTACAGACTCAAGCCCAAGAGAAACTTTCTACAGGTCCCATGGATTTTTTTTTAAGAGAAATTTTACTGAGAAAATTCATGCAAGAATTTCATATAAGAATTTTCATTATATTCAGACCTCTTTCCCCATCTCTACCCTTACTCTACCACCCCCTACTACCCTCGCTCAACTTCATGTCTTCTATTAGTAAATGAATGCTCCCTCCATCTTATATAACACCTCTGAGCTGGGTACTGGAGAAGTTAGAATGTCAGTGATCCATAATTCCTTTTTTTGGTCATTTTGAGACAGGGTCTTTCTGTAGCCCCAGCTGCCCAGTTGGCCTAGAACTCACTATGTAGACCAGGCTGGCCTTGAACTCAGGGATCCACCTGCCTCTGCCTCCTGAGTGCTGGGATTAAAGGCGTGTGCCACCACACCCAGCCAGTGATCTATAATTCTTACATAGAGGTGTGCTGAAGTTAAGGGTCCATTTCCTTTCCTATGTGCATGGCTTTGGGTCAGAATATGCCCAGGTTTCTTGGAGTGAGGTCCCATGGAATTTAATTATAAAATGCAGAGAGTTTAAGCAAGAGTACCCTTGTGAGGGTGATACTCAGTAGGACACATTGTATATGGAGGTGTTTTGTGAACTGTAAAATAGTAAACAAAAATAAAATATTTCTATTATATTACTCTTTTTTTTTTCAGTCTTTTTGAGACAGGGTCTCCCTGTAGCCCCAGCTGTCCTGGAACTCACTATGTAGACCAGGCTGGCCTTGAACTCACAGAGATCCACCTGCCTCTGCCTCCCGAGCGCTGGGATTAAAGGCGTGCGCCACCATGCCCGGCTATTATATTACTCTTTTTAAAAAAGATTTTATGGGGCTGGAGAGATGGCTCAGTGGTTAAGAACACTGGTTATTCTTGCAGAAGACCCTGGTTCGAATCCCAGCACCCACATGGCAGCTAATAGCTGTCCGTAACTCCAGTCTCAGAGGACCCAACAGCCTCTTCTGACCTCCTCGAGTATTTCATGACATGGGTGCACTTACCTACATGCAGGCAATATATGCATACACATAAAATTAAAAAAAAATTTTTTTAAAGATTTTATTTTTATTTTATGTATACAAAGTACTTTGCCTACATATATGTAAGTGCACCACATGCATTCAGTACCCATGGAATCCAGAAGAGGGCATTGTGTGTGTCCCTTGGAACTGGAGTTATAGATCATAGTTAGCTCCCATGTGGGTGCTGGGAATGGAACCTGTGTCCTCTGCAAAAGCAGCAAGTGCTTTTAATCCCTGAGCCAGCTCTCTAGCCCTATTGATTTTTTTCTTTTGCCTATTTTATCCTTTTTGTTCTTTGAAATATTATTTTGATTTTTTTCTGTTCCATATACCTTTCATACCTGTTCTTTTTTCCCTTTTAAACTTATTTTTAATTTATTACTTAAGTTGATATTTTTCTTACTAAGACATTTTCTCCACCCAGAATGCTAACATATACATAGAGTTAATTGATAAGGGGAGATGGCACTATTCCTGACCATCTGTGAAAGGTCTGAGTTTTCTACATCTATTTTTACAGGCCCCTAATTGCTAAGAAGAATCCTAAGATCCCAATGTCCAAGATGATGACCATCCTTGGGGCCAAGTGGAGAGAATTCAGCGCCAATAACCCCTTCAAGGGGTCAGCAGCTGCTGTGGCGGCGGCAGCAGCAGCAGCAGCAGCAGCTGTAGCGGAGCAGGTGTCAGCTGCTGTCTCCTCAGCCACCCCCATAGCACCGTCTGGACCCCCTGCCCTCCCACCACCCCCTGCTGCTGAAATCCAGCCCCCACCCATCCGAAGAGCCAAAACCAAAGAGGGCAAAGGTAGGAACCCTCTTACTCTAACCACTGCTAACCCACCTTCCAAACTGCATGTCTTCAGTTATATGCTAGAACTCTTGTTTTCCCAGCCTTGATTGCTAAAGGAGAAATGCTTTCTAGGAAGGAGGTATTAGTAAAATCATAACCCATGGGAGAGTCCAGAGCCTCCCATGATTCTTGTTCCTTTAGGATATGCCATGGCCTATGGATTTTCTCCCCTTATTCCCATTCTCATTCAGGTCCAGGCCATAAAAGGCGGAATAAGAGCCCCCGAGTGCCTGATGGACGCAAAAAGCTTCGAGGAAAGAAGATGGCACCACTCAAAATCAAACTGGGGCTGCTGGGTGGCAAGAGGAAGAAGGCAGGCTCGGTGAGTAGCCCTTCCCTGTCTGCTAAGCACCTGGGTGTCAAGGACTGAAGTCCAGAGATGGTCCATGAGGGAGGTTGGGGAGGGGAACCCAAGGCTTAGGGAAGTGGGTAGACTCAACTATGCCTCACTGACAGCAATGGGGCTATGGGCAGTATGTTTTTCAGAGTGATGAGGGCCCTGAACCAGAGGCTGAGGAGTCAGATCTGGACAGTGGTAGTGTCCACAGTGCTTCAGGCCGGCCTGATGGCCCTGTCCGAGCCAAGAAACTGAAGCGAGGCCGACCAGGAAGGAAAAAGAAGAAGGGTAAGGATGTTAGCTGTGTCTGAGCTGTCTGTCTGCCTACCTTCCTTTGCTGTCTTTCTTCTTTGCAATTTTGACTCTTTTACTCAACCCTTCTCTCTGACTTTCCCTCTCTGAATCCCTTTCTTTCTCTTTCTGTTCCCTTTGCCTTGACTGGGGCATATGACAGTTCTGGGCTGTCCTGCAGTGGCCGGGGAGGAGGAGGTTGATGGCTACGAGACGGATCACCAGGATTACTGTGAGGTGTGCCAGCAGGGTGGGGAAATTATTCTGTGCGACACCTGCCCTCGTGCCTACCACCTCGTCTGCCTTGATCCTGAGCTTGACCGGGCTCCAGAGGGCAAATGGAGCTGCCCCCACTGTGTGAGTACCCGGTACCCTTGGGGATCCACCCATCTTTTTCTTCCTTCCTTCCATTTATCCTCTTCCCACCCCACATGCCTGGCTTCTTGGTTAGATATGTCAAGTACACAGGATCCTAGTTGGGTCTTTTCCCTCAACCCTTTACCCCCAGGGTCAATACTTTTGGAAACTGGGGATATGCTGTTGTTAGTTCCCATGAAGACCTCTGTGCATTTCTAGGATTCAGGCTTCTTGTGTTTGCCTCAGTCTCCCATCTCTCTATCTCCTTTCTTCCATCTATCTATGTCTGTCCTTGGCCCCCAGGAGAAGGAGGGGGTACAATGGGAGGCCAAGGAAGAAGAAGAAGAATATGAAGAGGAGGGAGAGGAAGAAGGAGAGAAGGAGGAAGAGGATGATCACATGGAGTACTGCCGTGTGTGCAAGGATGGTGGGGAGCTCCTGTGTTGTGATGCTTGCATCTCCTCCTACCACATCCACTGTCTAAACCCTCCCCTGCCTGACATCCCCAATGGTGAATGGCTGTGTCCACGATGCACAGTGAGTAGAACCATGTCTTTACAGAATTTACAATCCAGCCCTGCCCCTTCACCCATTTCTGGGGTCCAAACATCCACTCTTCCTTTCTCAGCCCCACCCTTTGTTGCACCTTTGTCCTACCTAACAAGGGCTCTCTTTGCCTCTCTCCTTCCTCTTATGTGACCACCCTAAAGTGTCCTGTGCTAAAGGGCCGTGTTCAGAAGATCCTGCATTGGCGATGGGGGGAACCACCTGTGGCAGTGCCAGCCCCCCAACAGGCAGATGGGAATCTAGATGTCCCACCCCCTCGTCCTCTTCAAGGGAGATCAGAACGAGAGTTCTTTGTCAAGTGGGTAGGACTGTCCTACTGGCACTGCTCCTGGGCCAAGGAGCTTCAGGTACAAAGGCTTTTCTTTTCCCTCATCCCTAGGGTCCTGCTCAGTCATTTCCACTCTCTTACCAAGACCTTTTGTTCCCTGGGCTTCCATCTCCTTTCAGGCCTCAGACCTCACATGCTTTCTACTTGATTGGTGACTAGACGTGGTTCTTTGGTCTCTAGTCCCCTTTCACTCCATTTCTTTTGGTTTTCAACTCTTTCCTTAACTCCTTTCTTTTCATTCTTTATTAATCTCCCCAGTCTTAATAACAGCAGGCTTCGTCTTTTGTGCACCTTGCTGCACCTACCCAGGTCTTGTTTTCCAACTCTGTCCTATCAGTTGTTTTATTTATTTTCTCACTGTAAAAAAAACAATTATTATGACCAGGCGTGGTGGTGCATGCCTTTAGTCCCAGCACTCAGGAGGCAGAGGCAGGTGGATCTCTGTGAGTTTGAGGCCAGCCTGGTCTCCATAATGAGTTCCGGGCCAGCTAGAGCTGCAGGGAGACCCTGTCTCAAAAAGACAAAAAACCAATTATTTGTTTTCATCTCCCTCTTTCAAAGCTCCCTTCTTCCATCCTGTTGGCTAGCCTCTTCTCTGTTCCCCTTTATCTTCTTGGATTTTAGGGATTATCTCTTCTCTCTCCTTCTCTGCCCTATCAGCTGGAAATCTTCCACTTGGTAATGTACCGAAACTACCAGCGGAAAAATGACATGGATGAGCCCCCACCCCTGGACTATGGCTCCGGAGAGGATGATGGGAAGAGTGATAAGCGCAAGGTGAAAGACCCTCACTATGCAGAGATGGAGGAAAAATACTACCGTTTTGGCATCAAGCCAGAGTGGATGACTGTCCACCGTATCATCAACCACAGGTGAGTCCTTGTCCATGGAAAGGCCCATGGACTATGGCACTGCTCTCTCACTGTGATGATGGCACCACCAAATGACCACTTGAGATTTGGTGACTCTTATTGCAGCTCTAACCCTTCTGGCTTGGCTTCTGACAGGGGGGCTAGAGAAAGCAGGAGGAAAGCCCAGCCCATCCATCACTCGTTTGTCTTTGCTACCTCTATAATCTCTAATAGAATAGTTCTAGAGATGGGGCATGAAAGCAAAACATGAAAATCATAATTCATCCAGATGGGTGTTTGAGCCTGCCTGCCTCCCTTTCTTCCTTCCTCCCTCCTTCCTTCCCTCCCTGCTTCTCTCCTGCTCTCCCTCCCTTCCTTTCTTTTTTTATTCCTGTGGTTTTTTTAGTGTAGTCCCAGCTGACCTGGAACTTGTTATGGAGACCAGGCTGGCCTTGATCTCACAGAGCACCTTCTGCCTTCTGAGTACTGGTCTTAAAGTTGCCTACCACCACATCTGACTTGAATGTTTCTTTCTTCATGGTATTTACTGCTACCTAATATTAGTTATATATTTTACTGCTGCGCTTTAAAGTGTGAGCTTTGTAAACAGATAGGGATATTTGTCTGTTCATTCTCTGCTCAATCTAGTGCCTAGAACCATGCCTGGATCATATTAGACACTCAAAAATACTGTCTGGATAAGTGAGTGGTATTTCAGGCTCTCTAAGGATGTTTTGTGACAGTTTTCAGATACCATAAAAGATTAAGATAGTGCCGGGTGTGGTGGCGCATGCCTGTAGTCCCAACACTTGGGAGGCAGAAGCAGGCGGATCTCTGTGAGTTCAAGGCCAGCCTGGTCTACATAGTGAGTTCCAGGACAGCTGGGACTACAGGGAGACCCTGTCTCAAAAAAAAAAAAAGACCAAAAAAAAAAAAAAAAAAGATTAAGATAGTACTTTAGAGTAAGGTGACAGATGCTTGTATTTATCAAAACTTTTTGCTATTTGTAACCAATATTACTTTTCTTCTCCTGTTCCTTTTCTTGACCTCCTGCCCAACAGTATGGATAAAAAGGGGAATTACCACTATCTTGTAAAATGGAAGGACTTGCCTTATGACCAGTCTACATGGGAGGAAGATGAAATGAACATCCCTGAATATGAAGACCATAAGCAAAGTTACTGGAGACACCGGTGAGGGAGCCAGGTCATGGATTAAAAGGCGTCTGAGGATGGAACATGAAAACTAAATTGAGGATGCAGTTCTAGCTAGACCCAAGCAGAGTTTAGGGCAGTGGTGGCCTGGGCCAGGTTTTTGTGTGGAGTTGGTAAAGAAGTAGTATTAGAAACAGAAATAAGATCTGGCAAGCTTGGAAAGATGCCTCAGTGGTTAAGAACTTGCTGCTTTTGCAGAGGACTGGAGTTCAGTTCCTAGCACCCACATCTAGAGGCTCACAACTGCTTGTAATTTCAGCTGCAGGGGATTTGGACACCCTTTTCTGGCCTCCATGGGCACCCTCCCCACACACATGCAAATGCACACATGCATACACATAAAGGAAGTAAACTAAATTAAAAAAAAAGACACCACCACCACTACTGGGGGTGGAGGGAACACCAAGAAATAAGATCTGAGAAATGGTTAAGAAGAGGAGAAAAGGGTTGGCCCTCAAGGTATAATCCAAGGTAGAAAGCTTGGGAGAGGGCTGGCAATATGACTCAGTGAAGCCTGAAAATCCGAGTTTGTTCCATGGTGAAAGTAGAGAACTGACTCCTGAAAGTTGTCCTCTGACTTGTCCACTCATGACATGGCATGCATGCACCCACTACATGTACACACACACACACACACACACACACAATATTTTATAATGGTTGGGAGAAAGAAAAGAAAATCTGAGAAAAGATTTTGGACAGAGGGAAGTAGGTCTGGAATGGTTCAGAAAAATGGGAGGGTTCCCAAAGACCAGGCCTTATCTAGACCAACTTTTTTCTCAGAGAGCTAATTATGGGAGAAGACCCTGTTCAGCCTCGCAAATACAAGAAGAAAAAGAAGGAGCTACAGGGTGATGGGCCTCCCAGTTCTCCGACTAATGATGTAAGTCCTCTTTTTCCTGTTGCTGGAGCAATGGTGATTGATTTCCCTGAAGTTATCAGCAACTTCCCAGAGTTTTAGCAGCCTCTTGGAATAGTAGTTCTTCTTTTATCCAGCCTTGCCCTCATCAGAGTGGCTAGGAATTTGGGCATAGGAGTAATAGAGCTACTAGAAGCAGCATCTCAGTTCTAGCTAGCCCTTCCCACTGGTGCTGCTGGGGATTGTTTTAAGGACTGGGGGAGAAAGACTGAAGACTAGAGCGCGTAGCTCAGACCATAGTAGAGAGAATTGTAATCCAGCTTGAAACCAGTACCAGGGAGGGGCAGAAGACCCTTAACAGTTCCTTTGAACTTTGTGATGTCTTGCCTCTACAGCCTACAGTGAAATATGAGACTCAGCCACGGTTTATCACAGCCACAGGAGGTACACTGCACATGTATCAGCTGGAAGGGCTGAACTGGCTACGCTTCTCCTGGGCCCAGGGCACTGACACGATTCTAGCTGATGAGATGGGGCTGGGCAAGACCATCCAAACCATCGTCTTCCTCTACTCACTTTATAAGGAGGTGTGTGTTGGATTCTAGGCCCCTGAGAGGGGTGACCCAGCTGAGTCCTAGCCTAGACTGGGGTGGAGGATAGAAGGGTACAGCAGGCAGCAAGCAGATGAGAGTGTATATCCTTGAGCAGGACTAATGGGATTCCATCCTTGATTCCCAGGGCCACACAAAAGGTCCCTTCCTGGTGAGTGCCCCACTCTCTACCATCATTAACTGGGAACGGGAGTTCCAGATGTGGGCACCCAAGTTCTACGTGGTCACATACACGGGTGACAAGGATAGCCGGGCCATTATTCGTGAAAACGAGTTCTCTTTTGAAGATAATGCCATCAAAGGTGGGAAGAAAGCTTTTAAGATGAAGGTAAGCCCTTCTATCTCATACACTTTTTTTTTTTTTTTTTTCTTTTTGAAGCAGGGTCTCCCTGTAGCCCCAGCTGTCCTGGAACTCACTATGTAGACCAGGCTGGCCTTGAACTCACAGAGATCCGCCTGCCTCTGCCTCCCAAGTGCTGGGACTACAGGCGTGCGCCACCGCGCCCGGCTCTCATACACTTTTAAAAGCTTCAGATCTGTCATTTCTTTTTCCCAATCAGGACCTTGGTTCCTCTATTTCCCACTCACCTTTCCCCCTCCTTTCTTCTATTTGTCTTTGTGCCTCTGCATTCCACAGTAGGTTCCCCAGGGCATGAATGGATCAGTCAGTACTGGACATGTGGGTGGGGATTGAGGGCTGTGGTCAGTAAACCTCCCTGCTTGGAGTCAGAGTTGGAGGTAGACTAACTGGCTTCCCAAGGGAATCACTGGACAGGGTTTCTGGGTAAAGGACAGGGCCTAAAGGTGCAGGTATGTGGTGTCGAGTAGCAGCTGATTGGGCAATGGTTATGTTGGCAGAGGGAGGCACAGGTGAAGTTCCATGTTCTCCTGACATCATATGAGCTGATCACCATTGATCAGGCAGCGCTTGGCTCTATCCGCTGGGCCTGTCTTGTGGTGGATGAAGCCCATCGACTCAAGAACAACCAGTCCAAGGTGAGTGAAATTCTCAGACCCAAGAAATGAACTATAGGCTCCCATTCACCTTGATCCTGAAAACAAAGTAAAACAAAAACAAAACATTTTGTGGCCTGGGAGGTAGAGTTCCAGGAGCATCTGAGTTAAGATCAATGCTGGAAGAGGTAAAGAACTAAGGATTTGGGATCTCTGATCCTGAGGGATATGGGAACTCAGAAGCTGGTGATGGTCAGTGAGGTGAGTCAGCCACTTGCCACTGATACACCCTATCTCCAGCTTGTCCTTGCCCCATTTTCTAGTTTTTCAGGGTCCTCAATGGCTACAAGATAGATCATAAATTGTTGCTGACGGGGACCCCATTGCAGAATAATCTGGAGGAGCTCTTCCATCTGCTCAACTTCCTCACCCCAGAGAGGTTTAAGTAAGTGGCTCACTATAGGTAGTCTGCAGAGAGCAAAGGCAGAGCATGCAGAGTTACTAGTTGAAGATTAATCTGAGGTAGAAAATGGAGCCTCAGATCAGGGACAAAGAACTTGACACCTTGTCTGTTTTCTTATCTCTGCCTGTCAGCAACTTGGAGGGCTTCCTGGAAGAATTTGCTGACATATCCAAAGAGGACCAGATTAAGAAACTGCATGATTTGTTGGGGCCACACATGCTGCGAAGGCTCAAAGCAGATGTCTTTAAGAACATGCCAGCCAAGACAGAGCTTATTGTTCGAGTGGAGCTAAGCCCCATGCAGAAGTGAGCTGTGGGACAGGATACCTAGATTTGGGGTTGGGGTTTGGGTAGAGTTGGTGACCAAGTGCAGTATTATAAGTGTTCTTATTATGTCTCTTGAACACCCCTACTCTGTTCTTTAGAAAATACTACAAATACATCCTGACTCGAAATTTTGAGGCCTTGAATTCACGAGGTGGTGGGAACCAAGTGTCGCTGCTTAACATCATGATGGATCTTAAGAAGTGCTGCAACCACCCATACCTCTTTCCTGTGGCTGCTATGGTAGATACAAAGAGCAGAGAATTGACCAAATGGCTGATTCTCTGGAATCCTGTGTTGAGAATAGGGGTGGGGCTGGGCTGGAGGGCTCAGAACTTGAGCCCTGGAGGGGCAAGAATTTGAAAAGTGTACAAGCTGGGTTTAAACTTTCGACTTTTCTGGGCATAGTGTAAGGGAGTATATTTCCTGACCTTCTGCTTTCCTTTCTCTTTCTTCTCCAGGAGTCTCCAAAACTCCCCAGCGGAGCTTATGAGGGTGGGGCACTTATTAAATCATCGGGGAAGCTCATGCTCCTGCAGAAGATGCTTCGGAAGCTGAAGGAGCAAGGACACAGAGTGCTTATCTTCTCTCAGGTGGCCCACTCCCTCTGCTCTCTTCCTATCTGTGTTCTGTTGCCTCTCACCAACTAGACTTTAATTCCTGAGCTTTTTCCTATGGCTGCTGTAGTGAACGATCGAGAGATCCTACCTATAAGTTTGTTGACATGGATGGGCAAAGTAGTAATCTTTAATCCTAGTATTTAGGAGGCCGAGATGGTAGGCCAGTCTAGACACAGTGAGATCCTATCTTTAACAATAACAACAAAAAAAGCCAGGTGTGGTGGCTCACGCCTTTAATCGGGAGGCTGAGGCAGGTGGATCCCTGTGAGGTGGAGGCCAGACTAGTCTATATAGAGAGTTCCAGGACAGATGGAGCTACAGGGAGACCACTGGCTAGAGGTATGGTTCAGTGGTAGAGCACTTGCCTAGCATGTTTGAAGCCATGGATTAGATCCCCAGCACTGAAAAATAAACAACAAACAAATAAACAAACAAACAAACAAAAGGTCTAGTATGACTGGTCTGGTATATTCTTGGCTCTTAATTCCTATTCCTATGACTATCAGAAGTTGTAGTTCAATTCCTTTTTAGCTGGATGGAGCCATTTGCCTCCAGGGGCATCTCTGGAACTAGTATAATTTACAGCCTTCTTAATAAATGCAGGTAGGGAGCACAGACACTTTAGAACTCTGGTGAAAGGTATACCTCCACTTTGTAGAAAACAATTATACCAGTTTTATACAGATTTTCAAAGGGTTCATAGATTTCCCTGAAACTTTTTTATGGTCTCAGAGAACCTTTGTCTGACAAGAAATGATCTTTAATAAGAAGTATGGCAAGAGAGTAGAACAATGAAGAGCTTGGGGACCAATGGAGAAAATATGCCTAGGGAGCTTAAGAGGGTGTGTGTGCTGAAGTACAAGGATTGGGGATTGGTTTGAGTAAAGGGTTACTTTGAAGAGATGACCCATCCCACTGTCTTGACATTATAGACTTTTATCTTCCCTTGTTCTAGATGACCAAAATGTTAGACTTGCTGGAGGACTTCTTAGACTATGAAGGTTACAAGTATGAGCGCATTGATGGAGGCATCACTGGAGCCCTCAGGCAGGAGGCCATTGATCGGTTTAATGGTGAGGAGGAGATGCTGTTGTCCTTGTGGGCATTGGAGACCTGAGAAACTTCTGCCAGCTCCTAGGATGGGGATTGGTGAGGGGATGTTGGAGACCTAGACTTAGAGTTGGACTCTAGTGGTTTGTAGTGAGGGAACACCTAGCAGCATGGAGGGGAAAAACCCAGCCTCCTAATTCTCACCTCCTAGCTCCTGGTGCCCAACAATTCTGCTTCCTCCTGTCCACGCGAGCTGGGGGCCTGGGCATCAACCTGGCTACTGCCGACACTGTCATCATCTTTGATTCTGATTGGAACCCCCATAATGACATCCAGGTGGGAACCTGCATTTTTGAACCCTTGTACCATGCAGGGAGAAGACATGGGAGTATGGAGGAGGGTGTCCTGCTCAGGGGTGGTGGGTGTTAGGAGAGAAGAGAAGGCCTTTCCTTGCCAGCTTCTTTCCCTGACCTCGTATCAGCTTCTCCCTGCCTCTCCCCTGGCTCACCTCCATCTTCTCCTGCCCCTGAAGGCCTTCAGCAGAGCTCATCGGATTGGCCAGGCCAACAAAGTGATGATTTACCGGTTTGTAACACGTGCATCTGTGGAAGAAAGAATCACACAGGTGGCTAAGAGAAAGATGATGCTGACACACCTGGTAGTCCGGCCAGGGCTGGGCTCCAAGGCTGGCTCCATGTCCAAGCAGGAGCTAGATGACATCCTCAAATTTGGTACTGAGGAGCTGTTCAAGGATGAAAATGAGGGTAAGAATTTTTTTTTTTTTGAGACAAGGTCTCCCTGTAGCCCCATCTGGCCTAGAACTTGCTTTGTAGACCAGGCTGGACTTGAACTCACAGAGATCTGCGTCTCTGCTAGGATCAAAGGCATGCACCACCACGCCCAGTGAGGGTGAGAATGTTTTTTTTTAGTTCCCTGAAGTCCCTCCTCTGAAGATACACTCTAGGTAAAAATACCTTCTCTGAAGCTTGTGAAGGAAGAAGCACCTTCTTTCCAATGCCCTTGTGAGACCAGGCGTGATGGTGCATGCCTTTAGTCCCACCACTCAGGAGGCAGAGGCAGGTGAATCTCTGTGAGTTCAAGGCCAGCCTGGTCTACACAGTGAGTTCAGGTCAGCTGGGACTACAGGGAAACCCTGTCTCAAAAAGACCGAAAAAAAAAAACCAAAAAACAAAAAAACCTTGTGAGGAAGGTTGGCCACCTATGGAAACAAAAACTCCTTGACATGAGCTCCCAGGACATAGTGCTTCCTCCAGGCCGGTGAGAAGGATGGAGAGTGGAGCACTTCATCATTCTGGCTAGGTTGTACCTGAGTTTCTTGTTAGAACCTCAAGCCCTCTTTTGTTCCTCATCTCTGCCAGGGGAAAATAAGGAAGAGGATAGCAGTGTGATCCACTATGACAACGAAGCCATTGCTCGACTGCTGGACCGGAACCAGGATGCAACTGAGGACACTGATGTGCAGAACATGAATGAATATCTCAGCTCCTTCAAGGTGGCACAGTATGTTGTGCGAGAAGAAGACAAGGTGAGAGACTTTGAGGCCAGTCTTTCCAAGGCTGTCTCTGAAGGGACAGACAGTTAACTTTCCAAGGCCATCTCTGAAGGCAGTACCCTTCACTAGATTGTGAAGTAGGAATATTCACTTTCACTCTTATTTTTGATTTGCTTTCTCACCCTGGCCCCAGCAAAAAGCAATAGTGGGCCTCCAACAGCTTCTCATTCTAATAAAGGAGACTGGACTTTGGAGGGTGACCTAGGCATAGAAAGTTCTGGTAATCATAGGAGGGTACCCTCTGAGTCTATGGGAAGAAGATAGGGAGAAGTAAAGGAGAGATTTAGAATAGAACAAGAAAAGGGTCAAACACATTGCAGGGAAGAGGTGATAGGAGAAATGTACATGGTCCAGAAACATGGTGCAAACCTGAAAAAGAGGCTCTAGAAAAAGTGAGCAGGATCTCACTGGCCAAGGCAGGAGAGAGGGATTGTGATACAGCCAAAGGGCTAGTGAGGAAGAAGGTTGCCAACTTTTACTCTGCTGCCCTTCAGATTGAGGAGATTGAGCGTGAGATCATCAAGCAGGAGGAGAACGTGGACCCTGACTACTGGGAGAAGCTGCTGAGGCATCACTATGAGCAGCAGCAGGAAGACCTAGCCCGAAACCTAGGCAAAGGCAAGCGGGTTCGAAAGCAGGTTAACTACAATGATGCTGCTCAGGAGGATCAAGGTGAGGACTGTCCCTGACAGGAGATGAAAAGGGAAGGTGTGATGAGTAGGGCTTTGGAGGCCAGGGCTATTGAGAGGGAAAAAAGCCAAGTGGTCAGGAAGGGTCAGGAGGAACTACTCTAAGATAGATGGGTGATTTAACTGCTAGGGATTACAGAGGGATCCCAGGAGCTCACTGCCCAGAGTAGCTTTGAACAGGAGTCAGATGGCATAGCAGGGGGTACCTAGAGACTGGGGATGGCAGTGAGTACGGATGGCCCAGGATACATGACCCAGCATCCCCAGTAGGTCCAAGGTCAGGGTGGAGGTGGAAAAATAAATGTCCAAGAGGAAGAATCAGGGTCAAAAGGGCCCCAGCATGGCTACCACTGACTGGTAAGCCCTCTCTACCCCTCACAGATAACCAGTCAGAATACTCAGTGGGGTCAGAGGAGGAGGATGAAGACTTTGACGAGCGTCCTGAAGGTGGTATCTTTTCTTGACTTTCTGTCCCAGCTCTTCCCAATTCACTTATTTTCTTTAAGCCCACTATTTTTTTTCCAGCAGAATAGTTTATTAGCATAGGAAGCCTCAAATGGGAAAGCCCACTATTTTAAAAAAATATTTTATTTATTATTTTTATTTCATGTGTTTGAGTGTATTGCCTGCATGTGTGTAAGTGCACCCGTGTTCTGCAGTGCCCTCGGAGGTCAGAAGATGGTGTCAGATCCCTTGGAGCTAGAGCTAAAGATGGTTGATAACCACCATGTGGGTTCTGGGAATCGAATCCAGGTCCTCTGCAAGAGCAGTTAGTGCTCTAAACCACTGAGCCATCTCTCCAGACCCTAAACCCACTATTTTTATACAGTAAAAAATGCTTCTTTATGTGGAGCATGGTAACACACACTGGTAATCTTAACACTTGAGAATTTTTGAGACCTGCCTTATTATATAGCAAGACTGTATCTCAAAAAGAAAAATTAGAAAAAAAAGTTTCTTTGGTAGGAAAACTTCAGTTTGCAAATGGAAGGGAAGGAATGTCCATGATCTCTCCACTATTAAAATTTGGAGCATGTAACCATGTAGGAGTAGACGCTTGCAGGTCAGGGGAGGGAGATGTGGTGGTGCACACCTGCAGTTCCAGCTGCTTAGGAGGTTTAGACAGGAGGATTGCTTGAGTCCAGGAATTGGAGGCCAGCCTGGAAAATATAAACCTCATCTGAAAAGCAAATACACACCAAACAGAACAAAAACCAAACCAAACAAACAAAAAACCCAGGAAGATTACATCATTTTGCCTTCCTGAGAGTAATCTGTGTCAGATATTTGTTTTTTTTTGTTGTTGTTGTTTTGGGGTCTTTTTGAGACAGGTTTCCCTGTTGCCCCAGTAGGCCCGGAACTCACTATGTAGACCAGGCTGGCCTTGAACTCACAGAGATCTGCCTGCCTTGGCCTCCTGAGTGCTGGGATTAAAGGCATGTGCCACCACGCCTGGAGATGTTTATTCATTTTTAAATATGACATCTTTTAGACTTACTGGGTAGTAATGCTGAAAGTACATGAAAAAAAATTAGAAGGGAGCATGACACTGACTGTTCTTGTCTTCTGTATCTTATGGGAATGTATGCAAAGGAAGACTGAGGCTTACAGGGGAGGTGGTAGATCTACTAACCAGTGTTACCTGCACTTTTAGGGCGTCGGCAGTCAAAGAGGCAGCTCCGAAATGAAAAGGACAAGCCACTGCCTCCATTGCTTGCTCGAGTTGGGGGCAACATTGAGGTGAGACTTGGGCCCAGGCTCCTGTGTTTGCTCCAAGGAGAGAATGGTATGAAGTACATTGGAAATTGATGTCTGGGGCACCAAGGGTAGAAAGGATTAAGACTCAAGACTCCTGGTCATTCAGAGCTCCTGCGTCCTTGCCTTACCTTCAGGTACTGGGATTCAATACCCGACAACGGAAGGCTTTCCTTAATGCTGTGATGCGCTGGGGGATGCCACCTCAAGATGCCTTCACTACACAGTGGCTGGTGCGGGACCTGCGGGGCAAGACTGAGAAGGAGTTTAAGTGAGTACATGATTTGGGGATGAATTGAATGAGAGGCTAAGAACTTGGGGTGTTACTTTATTCCTCTTGGCTACCATATGATGTGACCTTACTCAACTGATCACCATCTTCCTACCTTATGACTACTCCAGGCTTGGTTTCCTGGGAAGTGGGCTCAGCCTCCTCCACTTCCCCTCAGCAGAGCCTACAATAGAGGGGCCAGGCCTCCTCCATGGGAGAGGTGTTTGTGGAAGGAGCCTTGCCTAGTCTGGCCTGGCCTCACACTTACAGGAGAAGCTGGTGAACAGGATGAAAAGTTGACTGATGGGGCCCAGGAACAAAGTACCAAGGCCCAGGAGATGCACAGAAGCAGATGAGAAGGAGAGGCCAATGGGAGAGTTAGGATTTTGGGGGCTGGTGGGAGTGATACATCCATGGGAGGAGTCCTGGAGGCTCCTGGGGAGTTGACATTCAGGAGTTAAGTGATCTCTGCCCCATTCCCTTCTGTGGCCTTGCAACCGTCCTTCCACCCCATGCTTTCTAGGGCCTACGTGTCTTTGTTCATGCGCCATCTGTGTGAGCCTGGGGCAGATGGATCTGAAACCTTTGCTGATGGAGTCCCTCGAGAAGGGTTGAGTCGCCAGCAAGTGCTGACCCGCATTGGAGTGATGTCTCTGGTGAAGAAGAAGGTATCAGTCTTTCCTCACTGAAACATCATACCAGCCACTTAGTCTCTGTTCTTCTGCCTTCCATCCCTGAGCTCTAGCTCAGGCTGGTATGATACAGAGGGGATTGGGGCTTCCTATGTGCTTCATGCTAGAAGCTGACCAGGCCTGTGACTATGAACCCCTTTCCCAGGTGCAAGAGTTTGAGCATATCAATGGGCGCTGGTCAATGCCCGAACTGATGCCTGATCCTAGTGCTGACTCCAAGCGCTCTTCCAGGGCTTCCTCTCCAACCAAAACATCTCCCACCACACCCGAAGCTTCTGTGACCAACAGTCCTTGCACCTCTAAACCTGGTAATTGGGAGTCAGGATGGCTGGAGAAACAAGTGCGATCAGGTGTCAGGGTGGGGAGATTTCTGCTTTTTTACCCCCCTATATTAGACTATTTGCATGATTATGTGAGATTCCTGAAGTTGGAGAACTTTATATAGAAAATAGGTTTGTTTTGGTTCATGGTTCTAGAGGTTCAAGGTCAAGTGGCTACATCTGGTGGTGGCCTTCTTGCTTGCAGAATCCTGAGATCATGCAGGATACCACATGGTGAAGGACAGGGAGCATGCATTTATATTTCATTGCCCCCTCTTCTTAAAAGTCACTAGGGCTGGGTGTGGTGGCGCACACCTTTAATCCCAGCACTCAGGAGGCAGAGGCAGGCAGATCTCTGTGAGTTCAAGGCCAGCCTGGTCTACATAGTGAGTTCCAGGACAGCTGGGGCACCCTGATGCCCTTTTTTAATCTTAATTATCCCCCCCCAAACCCCACTAGTAAACATGTAGTTGGATTAAGTTTCTACCAATTATTACCTCACACTGGGCATTAAATTTCAACACATGAACCTTTGGAGAACACTTCAGTCATAGCCAAACCATAGCATTCTGTGTTCACCCACAGCTACTCCCGCTCCAAGTGAGAAAGGAGATGGCATAAGGACACCTCTTGAGAAGGATGACACTGAAAACCCAGACGAGAAGTCAGAGAAGAATAGCAAAATTGGGGAAAAGATGGAGACAGAGGTGTGTGGACACCTAGCTCCCTCTGAGAAGAGGGAGTGGAAGGGTCTGGAGGGGTCTTGGCAGCTAGGTGCCTCAGAAACTTTGAGTTTATCTCAACTCTACTACCCTTCACCAGGTTGATTCTCCAAGCCCAGCCCCTTCCCTTGGGGAACGACTAGAAACAAGGAAGAGTCTGCTAGAGGATGAAATACCAAGGGTACCTGGGGAGATGGAGACTGAACCTGGGAACAGAGGAGACAGAGAGAAGTCTGGTGAGTGTACTGTCTTAGGGGTGTTGGGGATTAGTTTTGGAGTTCTTGCTTCAGAAATTGGGATGAGCGTGACATCCTCCTTCCTATCCCCCCATCCACTCCCACAGCCACAGAGCCAATGCCAGGAGAAAGGGGAGAGGAGAAGCCATTGGATGGACAGGAACATAGGGAGAAGCTGGAGGGGGAAACAGGGGATTTGGGCAAGAGAGGTAATGGGTGGAAGGACTGGACACCTGGGCCCCTGAGGGGATTAGGGGAGGTGGAATCTGGGGGACCACATGCCTGGGTCTTGGGTGGGTAGCTGTTGAAAAAAAGTTAGTACTATATATGTATTAAATAGTCTTGGGATTTTGGAGAAGGCTGTCTTGAGGTATGAACTTTTGCCTGGTTTGGCCTAGCAGAAGATGTAAAAGGAGACAGGGAGCTTCGACTTGGACCTCCTCGAGATGAGCCAAGGTCCAATGGACGCCGTGAGGAGAAAGTGGAGAAGCCGAGATTCATGTTCAATATTGCTGATGGTGGTTTCACAGGTGGGAGAGGTTCCTGATGCTATCTGCTCTTCACTGCCCATTTTCATGGGGTTTCCTCATTTTGCCTGAGGCTCTCTGCTACATTTAATTCCAAGTACTTTCAATGAAATGGTGTTGACAAGTGATCCTTGCTCTAAATCTTAAGTGTACTGCCAAATTCCACACTTGTCTCTAATACCAGTTAGTCTTAATCCTGATGTGAACCTGTTCAGAACTAACTTTATTCCTCACCCTTTGACCTAGCTTTTACCTACTCTTAAGGAACCTTTAGTATTCTGCCATCATTCAGTGTTGCACAGTACCTGCCTATTGGGATGAAGTGGTTCAGACCTCTGATGCTTCTGCTGTCCTCTTTGCAGAGCTTCACACACTGTGGCAGAATGAAGAGCGGGCAGCTATTTCCTCGGGGAAACTCAATGAGATCTGGCACCGAAGACATGACTATTGGCTTCTGGCTGGGATCGTCCTGTATCCTTTGAAACAAATGCAAGATGAAAAAAGGTTCTGTCAGGGCTGGAGAGATGGCTCAGCAGCTAAGAACACTGGATGTTCTTGCAGAAGACCCAGGTTTGAATCCCAGCACCCACATGGCAGCTAACAACTGTCTGTAACTCCAGTTCCAGGGGATCCAGCAGTGTCCTATGTCCTCCGTGGGCATTGCATGACACGGGTGTACTTACCTACACACAGGCAATACACACATACACATAAAATAAAAATAATAAATAAAAAATTTTAAAAATCACATTAAAAAAAAAAAAAAAGCCGGGCGTAGTGGTGTGTGCCTTTAATCCCAGCACTTGGGAGGCCAAGGCAGGCAGATCATCTCTGTGAGTTCAAGGCCAGCTGGGGCTACAGGGAGACCCTGCCTCAAAAAAAAAAAAAAAAAGACAAAAGATAAAAGACAAAAGAAAAAGGTTCTGTCAACCAGGAGAGAAGGGAACTATAGGGAAGAGAAGGGGATACAGGGAAGAGAAGGGTGAACAGAGAAGAGAAGGGGGTACAGGGAAGACAGCCCAGACAGGGTTCAGGGACTTGTGTCACATTTTGGGGAAATTTGGCCAATAGGGAGAAATGTTCATAGTCCAGTCCATTGGCTAAATTCCTTGACAGTCCACTTTCCTTCACTGGCAGCCATGGCTATGCACGGTGGCAAGATATCCAGAATGATGCTCAGTTTGCCATTATCAACGAGCCATTTAAAACTGAAGCCAATAAGGGGAACTTTCTGGAGATGAAAAATAAGTTCCTGGCCCGGAGGTTCAAGGTGGGGATAAGGGAAAGTAGCAGGGTTGAAAAAAGGCTTGGGTCAGAAGTAGTCTCGAGGCAATACTGAGGCCAAGACCCAAGTGTATCCATATGTTGGGGACTGTGGTCTGGATAAGGATTGATGTTGGGGTCACATATTGTGGAGCTGAGGTGGAGTTTTCTGGGCCAACAGCAGGGGCAGAATGGTCCTCAGTGTATGCGGGGTCCTTTTACTTAGCTCTGGGTTGGCCCCATCCTGTGCCCTCAGCTCCTGGAGCAGGCGCTGGTGATAGAGGAGCAGCTGCGGCGGGCGGCCTACCTGAACCTGTCACAGGAGCCGGCGCACCCCGCCATGGCCCTCCACGCCCGCTTCGCCGAGGCCGAGTGCCTGGCTGAGAGCCACCAGCACCTCTCCAAGGAGTCGCTGGCAGGGAACAAGCCAGCCAACGCCGTCCTGCACAAGGGTAAGGGCCGCGGTGGCCCCGCGCGGGGGAGGGCCCACAACGCTGCGTAAGTCTTCACCCCGCACCCCTTAAAAATCTTCCCACATCCCTCACCCTCTGACCCCTTTACCCTCTGACCACTCCTCTCTAACCTCTAACCCATCTCTGACCCATCCGGCACCCTTTTGGTTTTTAACTTTAGCCTTTGTCCAAGCCAGCTCTTCTGATAGTATTTACATCAGTGCCTGATAGGCTCCTGGTCCATTCATGCAGTGAGACCTCATCCTGGATAGTGGAACCACGTGGTCATACCTGTCATGATTCTGATATCCCCTAATTTGAAGCCTGGGTCTGTGTGTACACCACAAAAGTTCTTAGCTATGATCCCATAAGTCACATTCCCTTGTATCTCCTTCACCCCATGAGGTAGAAACTAATGCCATTCTGCCCTTGACTTTACCCCATTAAATTTTCCTTTGACTTTCAACCCTTTCCTCAACACCTTCTTACCTTAATAATCATAGATTAAGCCCCAACTTAACCATCTAATGCCACCTGGCATAGTGACTGGCTCCTAACCCCCCACCTTAGGCCCCTCTCCTAATTCCTTTAATCTATAATGCTGATCCTCTAACCTCCTCCCCTTATGTATTAAAACTTTGATTCCTTAAATCAGACCACCACCCACACCTCCTATTTCCTCCCCATCATCCCCAACCCCTAAACTTCCCTCTTCTAGTATGGGATGTTCTGACAACTCCCCGACCCCATGTCTTCCAATGTCTTTTCCCGCCTCTTTCCCATACTTCTTTTTCTTCTTTCTTTCCATTTGTCCTATGTGGTATCTTGGTCTTTCTCTTTTTCTGATACTTTTCACCCTCTGAGTTGCTCTCTCTCTCTTTTTTTTTCTATTGACTTTCTGTCATTTCTGTCACTTGATCTGTGGTTCTTTGATGTCTATGTCCTCTGTCTTTCTGACTGTACTTGTCCATCTGACTGTCACGTTTTCTGGCTCCATCTCTCTTTTTCCACCTTTCTCTTGGTCTTCTTTCTCTGTGGCCCGGGCCCCAGTTCTGAACCAGCTGGAGGAGTTGCTGAGCGACATGAAGGCGGACGTGACCCGCCTGCCAGCCACGCTGTCCCGAATACCCCCCATCGCAGCCCGCCTTCAGATGTCCGAGCGCAGCATCCTCAGCCGGCTGGCCAGCAAGGGCACGGAACCTCACCCCACACCGGTAACCCTCTTTCCCTCTAACTTGTTTTCCCTGTGTGCTCCTCCTGCACACACGCAAACAGTTCCATCAACACATGGAACAACAGCCTGCTAGAACAGTCTTCTCCCTTAAGTGAGTCTCCCTGCCTGTATCACAACCTCCAGTAATTCTGGAGTGTGACTTCTTTCCTCTAGACTGTGGACTAACTAACCCCAGCATGTTCTTTATTCCAGGCCTTCCCCCCGGGACCTTACGCCACACCTCCGGGGTACGGGGCGGCCTTCAGCGCCGCACCCGTAGGGGCCCTGGCCGCCGCAGGCGCCAATTACAGCCAGATGCCAGCAGGGTCCTTCATCACAGGTTAGATGGTGGTTCTGACTCCCTGCTTCTCCCTCACTTTTGCCAGACTTCATCTCTACTTCATTCCTTTGCCCTGCTTTGAACCCATCTCACTTCCTTGGAAGTAACCAATGTTAGGGAAGAGTTGTTTGGGGCTTTGTTCTACCCCTTCCTTTTTGGGCCCCTCCTCTATCCTAGTGGTCCAAAACCTCATCCGTCACTCAGGAGGCTGAAACAGGATTGCCAAGAGTTCTCGGGCCATCCTGGCCTTCTATAAGATGCTGTCTGGAAAAAAAAAAAGAACAACAAAAAAAAAAACCAAACCCAAAAGCCACACCTATCATGTGACTTTGGATATCCCACTTAAGCTTCCTCTACCTGGCTTACCTCATTTGCAAATGAATGTGATTTCAGAAGGGGTAAAGTGAGAATCAGACCCTGTCACATGGCACAAGAGAAATCTCAGGAAGAGGAGTTTATCCTAGTCTTTCCATCCTTAGTGGCAGGAAGTGACCTAGGAGTGAGGATAGGCGATTGTCAGGGAATGGTGTTTGGGGTCATATGAGGATTGACCTTTCCTTCCTTCCTTCCCTCCCCAAACAGCCACCACCAACGGCCCTCCAGTGCTGGTGAAGAAGGAGAAGGAAATGGTGGGGGCATTGGTGTCAGACGGGCTGGATCGGAAGGAGCCCCGAGCCGGGGAGGTGATTTGTATAGACGACTGACTGGATCCCAGGCCTGCCCTTCACCTAGGCCCCGTTCCCGGGGCCGACCCCCATCTCAGGCCTTGGGGTCTGCTGCCAACCCGCCACCTTCCCCACCCCTTGGGCCACCACTGGGCTAGGAGCCCCTTTGCCCCTCTATAACTCCTCTCTTCAAGAAGGGCCCCTATCTCTCTCCACCTCCACACACCTTTCCCACCAAACTTTGAAGACTGTGCTGGTGTGAAGAGGACTGGGTGGGAGATGGCTAGCAGGGCCTTCCAAGTACCTTTATCCCTCACCACCAAATATACACCACTTCCCAATAAATGATTGTTGGGAGGAAAGAGGTGGAACCTCCCCAGTCTCTTTTCCTGCATATCACCTCCACCTCTGCAAAAGTGGGGGATTTGCCTTGCCTGGCTTTTAGGAATTTCTGTGGGGAAAAAAAAACTTCAAAGAGGAGGGGAGCTTGATTATAGAGGGAAGAAAATGAGCCCTGGGAGAAAGAAGGGAAGAGGAGGGGTGGCTGCATGTTACCTTCCCCTTCCTCTCCCAAAATGGAGGGTGGAGCAGCTACAGGGGAGGGAGTCCGTTGCTGTTCAGCCTCAGAATAAAGGCGCCATTCACTGGCTCAGTTACCTCCTGTGTACCAGCATCTTGTGTTGGGAACCTTCTCCCCTCCCTAGGGACCAAGGACCACTCCCACAACAAGTTATGGTTGGGAGATACTCCTTCAAGCCAAAGAGGAGCTCCCCAACCTATTCTAGGAACCCAGGTAACCTAGAAAGGGTGGGAGAGAATACAGAGGGCCAGACATGGGGGGGGCAGAACCCCATACTGGGGCTCAGGTTTCTGGGGGACTTATATCCTCCCTCCTCAAGGCCTGGATACAGACTAAATTTGAGTAAGTCAGGCCAGGGGCCTAGTCAGGGGACTACCTTGCCTGTGGGATCAGAACAACATAGTTGATAGCAGGCTAGGGAGATGTGGGCACATTCCCCCTCCAAGGAGGGGCCAGGGAGTGGCAGTTTGCATGGGGAATCCCCCCACTTCCTCTTTGCTGCCCCTTCACTTTCTTGCTGCCCCTTTCCCAGTCTCTTCACACCCACTCCTGGTCTGTCCCAATCCCCTCTTCTGTATCAGGTTATTGGTTGTACATATAAATTATACTTTCCTTTCTGTGTGCTGTTATTTTTGGCTGGGGTGAATTCTTGTGGGGAGGTAAGGTAAGAAACATTATCTCATCTTAATTACCTGCCTATTTTGTTATCTTTCTGAATTTTTGTCTCTTGGACCATTCATTAAAAGACCTTTTTCCAACACTAGCCACCAATGTAGAGTTGGTGAAAAGCAAGGTTCCTGAGGCCACAAGATTGAAAATTGCCTTCTACCTTTAAGTTATTCTCCCAAGTGTCGGTAGAGGTCACTACAGCCCCACAGGTTCAATTCCACTATGAATCAGAATGCTTTTCTCCCCCAAAGGAACTGAGGGCAGATTGGCATACTTGCTAAAGTTTGAACTACTGGACAATCCCTTGTATTATTCAGTTATAGCCTCTCACAGGTTGAGTGAGGACAGATGCTTTGTTCTTGAGACTATTACATTAAAAAATACGAGATACTGGATTGGAGAGAGAACCCTTCCAGAGGACCTGAGTTCAGTTCCCACCACCCATGTCAGTCAGTAACTCCAGCTCCAGGGATCCGACACCCTCTTCTGGACTAGACAGATACCCAAACATACATAGCATATACTTATACAGATATACATAAAATAAAAAATAAGTTATAAGTTAAACATTTATTGAGTATATATAATACATTAACACTGCTATTGGCTCTGGAAATAGTTCTTTGGAGTTTATACTCAGAAAACATGAACTATCAGAAAATAAATATAGTGTTCACTTCAGTAGCACATATATAGAAAATAGTGGAAATAAGGCATGTTACAAGAGGTAGGCATGGGCTCCCAAAAGGGGACACTGAAACTTAAGGATAGGAAAATGACAAAATGTGGTTTAAAAAAATGAAAATTTATGCTCGGTAAGTGGATACATTATTATTTGTCCATTAAACACAAGCTTGGAGACCCCTGAAAATTGAGGTCTATTACAAGTTCACATTTTTAACTCAGAAAAATGTAACATAGTTTTCTTTAGCAATAGACTGTCACTTTAGAACTTCATAGTGTGTCATTTGTGTTTTAAATGTTCCACCCAGAAATGATGACATCTCAGAGTGATGACACCTCAGTGTCTACAATCTAGACCAGTGCTTCTTAATTTATATACACACAGATCACCTGGAATTGTGAAAATACAGTCTGAATCAGGGAGTGTGGAGTGGGATTCTAAATTCTGCACTTCTAGCAAGCTCTTAGTGACACCAATACATTAGATTCTACTGTAAGATATTTACAGGACTTTAAAATAGAACTTATGACATAATAAGTGATGTCCCATTATGAGACACAAGTTTAAAATTATGCATCTTTTTTTAGTAGTGCTAAAGAATCTGAATGTAAAGACAACACATAATATCAAAAGTTTAAATTTTGATTCCTTTAACAAATGGCACACCTACCCTTGATTAAGTCTTAAGGTCTCACATATGCCCCTTTGGACAATTTCAACCTGCCCCAGCAAAGCTGAAGAGAGAGACTGTGTGCAAGGCCCCCAATCATAGACAAGGAGGCATCTCAGTAATTTCTGGAACACAGAACTACGATGGCAAACCACCATCTGTACATAACCTGATCAGTGAGACTGACATGACATTAAAAGTCTCTTCTCTCCTGTTGTTCCTTAAAAAAAAAAAAAATCATCTCCACTGACAATGCTAAAATGGGACCTGTTGCTTACATCACAGCCTCCCTGGACAAAAGCCAAAAGCCCCTAAAAACCTATGTTTTCTTCCCACAACAAGGTAGGCTTTTCTTCTATCATTCCTGGGCCACTCCATCTTGAAAATATAATGCTGGCACAGTCGGTGGATGGGACGTTCGTCTAGAAACCTCCGTAGCTCAGAAGTAACACCTCCTTCCTAAGGTGGTCTGCCTTTTGCACAACTCCATCACACAGGTACCAATTCCAGCATCAGAGGAAGTAGTCTTGACAATCAGCCCTTTGTATTAATGCGCAAGGCTGCTGCTCCCACCTTCCTTCTGCCTTAACTCCCAGGTTCCTCGGTTACAGCGTGCAGCGGGTCACGTGGGCAATGTCCTTGACCTCTGGACAGTAGAGCACTGGAGGAAATAAGAAGGGTTAGTGGCAACAGGAGAATGCGACCTGACCCGGCGTTCTTCGGTGCGCTGTGCCCGTCATCCTCCCTAGGCCGCCCCTCACCATTGCTAGGCAACGGACGCCGCCAGCTGCGCACGGGCGCCAGAACCCTGTCCACAATCCGCCGGAGCGCGCGCCACCCGGTACTTCTAGGTCCCGCCCCCTGCTCGCACTCGACTTTCGCGTCATCGTCCTCTCCATCATCGTCCCCGCTTTCCTTGGCCAGGCTCCCCGTCTGGTGTCGTTCACGCTCAGCCTGTGCCTTTTCCTCTAATCGTGACCACAAGCCCGAGTCTAATGCTATCTCCGCGACGCCGCCGCGCGGGACCGACGAGGGCGCCCGGCAGAAAGGGCACGTGACCATGCGGCGCAGGCGCACCACGGTCCGGCCGCCTTCGCCTCGCGCAGCCAGCTCGCGCAGGCAGGCGGTGCACAGCGTGTGTCCGCAGCGGGCACGCGCCGTACCGGGCAGGCGACGGGGTGCGCGGCCCCCGAGGTTGAAGGGTCGGTAGCAGATGTTACAGTCCAGCTCTCCCCGCTCGGGAAGGGAGGGCACCCTCATCAGCATCGTGTCTGCCGTACCCCCGAGGGCGGCCTTCCAGCGGCCGGCTATGCGGACTGGACGAGAGAGCTTCTTTTGGCCTGGGCTAGCGCCTGGGGCCGGCGCCGCGGCCTCCTTCCCCCTTTAATACTGAGGCCGCGCCCTCCAGGTGTCACGCACAGGTCGGGCCGCTCCCCATAGTGGCACGCGTGGGGGCGGTGGAGGCGCGATGCTGGGAATGCGGGCGATGGCCCAGCGGGGGAGGGTGCTGGGTCTGCCCTGGGAGGACACGCTCCACCCACTGCCCCCTCCGCGAACTCCCTCACCCCAGCATAACATCACCTGTCTTTTTCCAACCTGCAAATCCCCAGTGCCCTTCTTGCGCGCAGTCACTGACACAGTCTCCGAGATCCTCTTGGGCCTGTTTGTCAGTTGCTCACACTCTTTCACAACCTCACGCAAACATACTTAATATGCCAGTGTTACTGTTGGTTCTGCCCAACCTTTATTGGGCTCCTCGATGTTAAATGGATCCTGCTGAGGCATGCATTCTGCCTTCACCTCTCTCTCTCTCTCTCTCTCTCTCTCTCTCTCTCGCTCTCTCTCTCGCTCTCGCTCTCGCTCTCGCTCTCGCTCTCTCTCTGTCAACAGGGTCTCCCAGTAGCCCCAGCTGGCCTGGAACTCGCTATGGAGACCAGACTGGCCTCGAACTCACAGAGATCCGCCTGCCTCTGCCTCCCGAGTGCTTGGGACTAAAGGCGTGCGCTACCACGCCTGGCTTCTTTTTTTTTTTAATTTTTATTATTTTAATTTTTTTATGTGTATGAATGTATTGCCTGCATGTATGCGAGTGCACCTGTGTGGTACAATGCTGCGGAAGTTAGAAGAGGGCTTCGGATTCCCCAGAAATTGGGGTTAAGGACGGTTCATAGCCACCATGTGGGTGCTGGGAATTGAACCCTGGTCCTCTGCAAGAGCAGTCAGTGCTCTTAACGGCTGAGCCATCTCCAGCCCTTCACCTCTCCTTTTTATACAAAACCTGTGTTCTTGTAAGGCTGGCTTCCCAAATTTCATCCTCCCCAACTAACATCTCAGCCTAAGGAGGCACTTAGATTCCAGGACCATGGCCTTAGGAATGCTGAGAATCATTTCCTTCCGGAGTGTCCAGGCCTGGACACCCACACACTATGATGGCTCCATTGAAGCAGTATGACTTCTGACTCAGGGGTCTGGCTTTCCCCACAGGTAAACAGGATGAGGTACTCACAACCCACATTCCCTCATGTGTAGTACCCACACCCAAGCTGCCTTCTCACCCTCTGCTTCTGGACCCAGAGCCCAGGTTGTGTTTCAGAGGGTAATACAGTTTCGATACAACTGGCTTGAGTCCAAATCCTAGCCTTCACCGGTAGTTGTGACGACATAGGCAAGTTACTTCATTTCTCTGGGCCTCAATTTCCTCATCTATAAAATGTGGATAATAATAGTAAGGATTGAAAGAGCTTGTGTATGTAAGATGCCTTAAATGGTGCCTGGTATACAGTAAACACCATGTAAGTAATAGCTATTATTATCCTTATCATCCTTGGCTCCTGGCCTATATTGTGTTCACTTTAACTTCTTGGTATCCAGTATTTTCAACACACCATCTTTTGGTTAACCCAAGATGGGTTTCTCTACAAGCATAGCATTTATTGGCTTATCAAAGGTAAGGTAGAGCCCCTTTTGTTTTTTAACGTTAGAACTGTTAAAACCTAGAAGGCAACTTTGTTTTTTCTTTTTGAGACAAGGTCTCACTGTCTAGCCCAGTCTATTCTGGCACTCACTATACATTTCAGACTCATCAAAACCCTCCTGCCTCCTGCCTCAGCCTTCAGAGCACTGGTATTATGACTTCTAAGAGGGTAATCTTTTGTGAGACCTACTACCTTTATTTTTTTAAGATTGATTTTGTTTTTAATTATGAGGGCTATGTGCACATGAGTGCAGATGATGAAATGTAGAATAGGGCCTCAAAGTCCCTGGAGCTGCGCAATGTGGGTCTTGAGAACAGAACTTCAGCCCTCCACAATAGCAGTAGATGCTCTTACCCACTGAGCCATCTCTCCAGTTTCCCCTCCCACTTTGACTCAGGGTCTCCTGTAACTCAGGCTGGCCTGGAACTTTATATATAGCACAGAATGACCTTAAACTCCTGAGCCTCCTTGCTTCCATCTCCCAAGTGCTGGGATTGCAGGTGTGTGCCATAATACTTGGTTTAGATTTACCATTATTTTCAAGCAAACATTTCAGCATTTAGGAGTTGGATTACTTTCATGCTCACTTGGGGGAACCTAGCCACTTATTCCAGTGACACTATCATAATTGAAACCTTTATTAGAATTTTTATTTGAAAAGGTATGCCTCACATTTTAAAATATCTTTAACTGTCACATGTGGTAGTAAATACCTTTAATCCTGACTCTTGGAGACAGAGGCAAACAGATCTCTATGAATTTGAGGCCAGCCTGGCCTGCACAGCAAGTTCCAGGCTAGTCAGAGTGACATAGTGAGACACTATTTCAAAAATAAAAGCTTCCAAAACTTCAATTGATGGTAAATCTTAATCTTTGTGTTTGTATCTGTCTATATGTATATGATGTGTGTGCATGTGTGTACTTGTACTAGTGTGAGTATAGTGTGGTTGTTGACATGCTAAGGCATGTGTGGAGATCAGAGGACAATCTCAGGTGTTGGTCCTCACCTTGAAGCTTGTTTTTGTTGTTGGATTTTTGGTTTGTTTGTTTTTAAGGGAGAGTCTCATTATATAGCTGTGCTGGATAGCTTTAGTGTCAACACACCTGGGTTGAGGGAGCCTCAACTGGGGAATTGCCTCCATTGAACTGGCCTGTGGCCATGTCTGTGGGGCATTTTCTTGATTGTTGAGTGATGTGGGAGGGCCCAGCCCACTGTGGGTAGTGCCACCCCTGGGCAGGTGGGCCTGTGTTGGATAAGAGAGCAAACTGAGCAGGGGCCAGGGGAGCAAGCCAGTAAGCAGCATTCCTCCATGGCCTGGGCTCCAGTTCCAGTTTCCAGGTTCCTGCCCTGAGTTCCTACCTTGGGCTCTCTGATGAACTTTGACCTGGGAGATGTAAGCTGAATAAACCCTTTCCTCCCAAACTTGGTATTGGTCAGAGTATTTTGTCACAGCAATGAAGAACAAACTAGGACAGAAATTGGTACCAGAGAGTGGGATGTTGCTGTGACAGACCTGACCTTGGTGTTTTGGGAGAACTGTGTAAGTGTTTGGAACTTTGGGCTGGAAAAGCCATTGTGTGCTCAGAGTTTGTTGAAGTGGAGCTTGGAACAGTTCTGCTGAAAAAGTTGTAGATGATGGAGGCCTGGCTTGTGAAGCTTCAAAGGGAAACGGAGACTATCAGGGCTGTTCCTGTGATATTTTG